ACACACACACACACACACACACACACACACACACACACACACACACACACACACACACACACACAAAAGCAAAAAGCAATATTGCCATAGGAGGGCACTGATTTATCTCCTCTCTAATGCCACCATATTGTTCTGGCTGAATGGTGTCTATTTAAATATGTGTGCTGTAACATTTCATTTACGCCTCTACCTATTGAGCAAACTACCTACATGTTTTGTAAAATCAAAGCGAGCCGACCCATGCAGGCCATTTATGGATTGTTTGTACTGAAGCACCATCATCCGTCTTCAGGTTCAATCAGGAGTTAACAGCCAGTAATGATGGATTTATTGTCTAACAGCCAATGCAGAGCGAGAGTATTTCAAGCTGAGTATTTTGTGTGTGTGTTTGTGTGTTTTCTCTGTCTGCTATTGTCTAAAACAGCAGTGAGAAATGATGTTCAGTCCGACTCCCTGCAGTGTGACCTCTTCTTTGGGAAAAGCTGCTCATTTTCTGCATTGCATATGAGTTTCTGCAGAGACAATTGGAGGGAGGTAGATGATGATTTATGGGCAGCTGGGAAGCTGCAGCTGGAAAGCCTCACATGCAGGCAGGAGAAAATATGTAAAGGTGCTGCAGATTCAAGCTTTTGTTTGTTCTAATAAGCTTAAACTTCTTTCAATGCTATTTTTGTCTTTACAATTGTATTTTTGAGAGGCACAACACAGGGTGTAGGACATGGACCAAAGACTAAACATTTCTGAAAATCTGACTACAGCTCAGACAATTTTACAGAAACTGACCTAAATTCTGGAGTGTTTGTAGCTCAGAGTGATTAAACTAATTTTGCCATGACATAATTAAAATCAACAGTGTTTGTCTAACATATCTCATGGCCCACTGAAGAGGCTTTTCATGAAATTTTAAGAAAATATTAAGTGGATGTGCCTCTACGACTGATCAACTTTTGAAGCTCAAGATGGCTGCTACATCCGGCTGACTGTAGGAAACCCAAAAAATGGCCACAACTCAAGCCAAGCAGATCTTGAGATATATACAGTATATGATAGCTGATAGTTATTTTCAACACATTCTCTGACCAGTGACACATCTAAAATCACATGAAATTGCTCATAAATGGCACAATGGTCACATCTCTGTTTCTTCTCATTGTGAGAGAATTTTAATAATAAACTCTGGCGTTAAAGGAGAATCTGCAGTCTTTTGGTTTGTTTACGTAACATTGTTTTATGCCTTTTAGTAATTGCAAAACGAATCATTTTTTTATTCCTGGTGCAAATGCACAGTTCTTTCTCAGATATAACCCACCCCCTGGTCGGTTTGAATTAGAAGCAGTGGATCATTTGAAAATGGTGGGCTGGGAGGCAGTTGTCAGAGTTGGTTTTGGACGCGTCTAACAAGGCAGCAGGCAGTCGTTATGGAAATGTTTCATAGTGAAGCTGATTAGAAACAGAAGGAAAGTACGTTTCGAGAAGTTCAAGGAGAGGGAAATATGGTGGTTTGAACTTGCAGCAACTCTTCATTTCTTTGAAAAGAACTAAGAAAAAAATAAACTAAAGACTTCAAATTTATTCTGCTGGTAATGTGGTATATCAATAACTTATGCTCTTACGTTCTCTGGAGAGAAAACAGACAAAAGAAGGGAAGTGGAGAACGTTGAGTTTTTGCTGATGTATGTGTAAATAACAAGGCTTCTAAAAGCCCTCCATACATCACCTGAATGAATTTGGTCTCATCAGTAGCTGAGCTTTCCAGGTGTTCATTTCTGTGAGTTATGACCCCTCTTTAGAAGTGAATCCAGGCCACCTCAACCTTCACCTCTCTTGTGTTTGCTGAACCAACCCCTCCCTGCTCCTGTGTTGTGCTTTTGGTTGTGCCTGTCTGAGCGTGTAGTGTAGTGACACATCCATTGGGACGGCAGACACGAGGTAAATGCAATTCACGGCAGAAAAAAACAAACTGGAACCCGTTTTGGCGCCGGTGAAGAATGGGCAGAGACAGACGTGGACGCCAGATGGTGGTGAATCTGTAATTATAATTCTCTGGTGAAAAATGTGGCACTGTTAGAGTGAAATCTTCCTGCGGCTACTCTGATTGTGTCAAAATCTCTTCATTTGGCAAACAGTCCTGCATGCTTCTGCAGGTACAAGTTTATTTTCGTAGATGTCTGCAGCAGGGTGCAAACGTTAAGGACGAGCTGCTCAATGTTGTCAGACTGCACCACTGTTGGTGTCTTGTTTTTTGAAGGGTAATTACCTGAAAATGGACAAAGACAGTCAGATGGAATTTAAATAGGATGAGACGGTAATGGCTCCCAAATGGAAGGTTCTGATCTCGCCCCGAAGGGACTCACCTGTGATTTAGCCTCCATTCTTCTGCATGTGACAGGATGGCATTGTGGCATCACCCCACCCCCTTACCACCGTGACCCTGAATGCTCCCTGTTCCGTAGGAGGCTGCATAATTGTCTAATTAAATGGGAAGACAACAGCCGCAGCGCAGCTCATTAAAGACATTGCTCCATCAGCTCGTGCTTTTCCATTCCTTTCAAGGAAAGCTCCTCATCCTGGCAGGGAAGGTCAAACAAAGAAGCATTGTCTGTCCTGTCATTCTCTCTGCGATAAAACAAATGAGAAAGGGAAGCATTTATTCTTGTAAGTGTTCCTTCGCAGACTGAAATGGACTTGATCAAATAATGGCAAAAATGGCAACAATTGGAGGCATGGCTGCATATCATCCGCTGCTTTATCATACCAGTTTTAGACCAAGAGATTTTTTTTAATGTTCAGAAATTATTACTGCTATGGTTGTTTTGGTCAAACCTTGCAAAAAGGGAGGGACATCTCCAAACAAAACAGCAATTTGAAAATGATGGGAACATAAGAGTTAAAAGATTTGCCAACAGATGTAGCTCAGTTTGTTATTTTACAGATAGTATTGATTATGTGACATCGAGACCAGAAACAAGAACAGACACTGTTTGGAAACGGTCATTTTTAATGCGTTCTGTACCTTTACATATGATTGTCCTTGCATCAGCCTATTTCTGGAGAATTAGAAACATTAGTAATGTGGGGAGGGCACACTGGTCTGGGGGTCCCATTCAAGAACATTTTAAATGAAGTAAACACCATTTATTCCATTCTGGTGTATTTTAATAGGTTGGTAAACATATTTTCTTAGTATGCGTATTCTATCAATCAAGTGGAACAGATTCATTCATGAAGCCTATTTCTCCTGTTCTCTAAAAGAGTTAAATTTACATCTATAATTCAAAACATTTACAAGGAACAGGCTTTCTCAAATTTAAAGCCACCACACTGCACTAAAGCATCTTCTGCTGCTTCTTTGTCTGCCTGACTTTCACGCCTGATCTGCTGTTTCAACACATTACTGCCCCCCTCAGGTGGAGGCTAGAAGTGCACATCCTCATTGACCAAGGTGCCTGACTCAGTTCAAAATGGTGAGCAGCAGCAAACATTTGAATATATGTATATTTTTAAAGCAGGATTTATTTATTTACTCAATAGTTCAGTATTTATTTATTGGGCTTTACATTTATGAGCTCTTTAAATAAATTGAGCGTGTGGTTGCACTTAATATGATTTTTAATGAGAAGGGTGTTCCAATTTTTGTGTTTTCCAGATCAGCTGGCTGTGTTGTCATTTATCTGGAATTTGGGTTAAGTCCATAAGATGAACAGTTGTAGATGTATGTTGAATGGTTACTTTCTGAAGGTATCATTGGAATCAGTTTTGTGATTAATGGAAGTTTTTGCTGCTGGAAAAAGACAGACAAATGCTAAATTGATGTTACCTTTGGTGGAGGATTAAAAGCACAGACACTCAGAAGATACTAAACTAAATCTTTGCTTTTATTGAGCCTTAAACTAGCGAACAAATTCAGCTGTGCCAAGTCTGAGCAGTTCATAAAAATCAAATGGTTATAAAGAAGCAGAAGGTATATGTTACGTATTTATTTTATGATGTTGTTTTCAAATTGTATTTAATCAGAATACTTAGTAGATTTAAAAAAGTTTCACTCCTGCAGGAATAAAATGCTACAGTAATTTCAGTCATTTAAAAAAGGGACCAAATTGCACACAGCTGGCTCAAATCACATGCAAATTGTGATGCAGCCGTGCACGTGTGTGGAAGACCGTGAAGCTTTGTGCATCAGAATAAACAGTGCTGCTTGAAAAAACCCCACACTCCAACAATCATCTTTCTGTGGCCAGCTGCTGCTGAACGTAACCTTTCCAAGACCAATTATATCTGAAGTCTGCAAACACGTCTCCATGCGATCAGTTCCCCTCACATTTAGATCTGTACAAATCCTAAATATGTTACAGGATGGATGTCAGAGGCTAACATATGTCCATCCTAAATGTTATTGGCTCCTTCAGCGTGGAGGCTGCCTTGTTTTGGAAGTGAGACTCTTAGTGTTGTTTAATCTCCTGACTCTGCAGGAACACAACTGCTCTGATTGTGTTCTGACACGAGATCAGTTTGTTCATGCAGGCGTCTCCTGATTTTTATGTAAAAAAGGTAAGAAGTTATTCATTTTTTGTTAGTTCTGCTTGGCCTCATACCCCATCCAAAACACCAAATACACAGCTTGACAACTACTCAGACTCAGACAAGTTCTTAGACAAGTATTTAGAAGGAATGTGGTCAAAGATTAATTGAAGAAATTTTTATTTTAAGCTTACAGTCATTCAATGAAACAAAACCCTTGAGATTTTCATAATATAATGATTCAGCTTGTCCAGATAAGAAACCAAAAACAACTGCTTCACATCCTTTTGGAACAATTTAAAATGTTTTTTTAATACAAATCCAAAATACGTGTAGTTTTGCAGGTCAAAGTTGTACAGCAAAATCTTGTAAAATCTGTTTGTGCTCATAGTATATGTTGGGTACAACTCTCAGCTGTTAACGTACCAGATTTTAGCTCAAAGTCTATAAAACTAACAGAGTTATAGCATGTTTGCTATAGCTTAGCTGTGGAAGCTATCTTGAATCCAGCTGACTGTAAATGTTAGTCACATGTAGATCTAATGATTGTCTTCTGAGAGTTTCATTATATTTTGGTCAGGGGTTGATGTGATATTTTGCTAACAGACACATCAGCACATACGGGCAGTTACATTGCTTTCGTGGCACTGTGCTGCAGTGATAATGACCATGGTACACTGTTGTTTGAGAGGCTACAAACAGATTTTGCAAACAAATACAGTGTTTCCCCTAGGAAATTGGTCTTTTGGGGGGGGGGGGG